AACGAACTAAGCTTAGATGAAGCCCCCCACTTAGAAGAAGAAGTGCCCTTCATCAAAGGCAACGAACTAAGCTTAGATGAAGCCCCCCACTTAGAGGAAGAAGTGCCCTTCATCAGGCATAATTACACATCACTACTCTATTAAGGTTCTGGGTGACATTAAGAGGCATTTGCTCGATGGCGTGGTCGGTAAGGAGGATGAATTACCTGCGAACATGTTGATGTTGGAAGCGTTGTATTCTAAAGCGATTCTGGATCTGGAACGCGAGATTGCGGATGAAGAATTGAAATGGCAGGAGCACCAGTCTCTCGCAAAACGCGACAAAGAACGCGAGACCCAAGAGGCAGTGAAACAAAGTTCCAGACACGCGAAGGAATCACTGCTGAGGTATTGAAGGCTCTACGGGTTGGAGTAGGAAAAGCATCTATAACAAATGATATAATAGAGATCATTATTTTTGCAGCATAGGAGACCGTAAAGCGAAGCTGATGTAGAAACATGCGCGGATAAATACTTAAATGTACAAAAATCACATGAAAAAAGATTGAAAATTTTAATAATTGTAAGAAAAGGTCACTACAAGATCACAAGATAGCAACTTTGCAGATTCTTTTGCTTCGAGCCTTTGGGGTCTGAAATTAACGGAGTTTTTTCAGTACTCTTTGTGGTCTGTTAGTTTTCTCTAAATATATTCGTACGCTCAGTCTGCCTTCTGCTTTTTTCTTGCTTGGTCTCTCTGGTCTGTACTGCCCATGTTATAGTCTGAAAAAGAGACGATAAACTGACTATAAAACCCGAAAAATAAGAAGAGCACGAAGCTCACAAGATAACAACTTTGCAGATTCTTTTGCTTCGATATTAGGTAATTCACAGAATACCTACTTGCGCCTTGTTATATTAACGCGATGAAAGAAATAATTGCGGTCTTCGCGACGATCAGTTTCTCATGCTTGTCACGTGTGTTGTTGAAAATTGGTCGAGGGAAGATGGTGAAGGGCTTACTCGTGCATTGGGAAGCCTGCAGATCGACGAAAGCCTTTCTGCTGATGTGAGTAGGTATCGGTTGGAGAGTACGTACGAGGTGCAGTCAATTTGAGCATTTGGTGTTTGAGGGGACGAGTCTGTGGCTGAGCTTGATCTTTGTGCTGGAGATTAGCACTATTCTGGCTGAGACGAGGACGAGTGTAGGTATAATAGGTCCACCTCCCTTTTCCTGCAAGCATGCATGTCCGCGTCGTGCATTGCCTTGTTTTTGGGGTTTCCCTATACGCCCATATAAACTACTTAGTCACTTTTTCTACCAAGAATTTTCCGACTTCCGCTTTGACATGTTGATGCTTCGAGTGTTTATTTTTAGAAAGATTAATTTACCTTTGAGGATGCATGTTTCTGATTTCCTTTTGAAGAATGTGTAGAACGTGGTCAAAACTGAAAATTGTTGTTAGGTACAATCATCATCATCATCAGTAAATCGTATGTGTAAATCGGTGTCTAGATAATTTTCGTTTTGCTTCTTGTCTCAGTCATCTGTCATAGTAAGTGGCGTTTTGACGTCCTTGAATGGTTAGACATACTGGAATTCGTTTTAGGTGAGGTAGAGGTTTCTATCTGCGTCTTCGTCAAGACTGTGCACCCTATTTTCTGAAGATCATGTAAATCAAAGTTTCTCAACGACCAAGAGAGATACTCGTTTCCAGGTCGCTGATTAACGGTTTTCGTGTTACTTAGATTAGAAATAAGATCGGGATTCCTGTCCTTTCCAACAAGATGTTGTTCGCTCGTGGTCATCTAGAAGAACAACGACACCCTCCAGTTCGAAAAGCTCAGCTACAACCCCGACGAGCAACATCAAGAAAAAGCTATCACCTGCAACGACCGCTTTTCCACCGAGTACTAGGTTGTACAACTACGACATCTGTGATCATGGTCAGTGCATGGCGTTCGCATTTGAATTCGATGCCTAATTTAAGGGTTGTTCCCGTAATTCATCTTAAGAGGCATCTTACTTTGGCACGTTCTCAAGGGAAAACCGCGTCAAAGACGACCTTCAAGATGAATTTTTTAAGCATGCTCTAAGTAGTGGACCGACGCTCAATATACCACTAGGGCATGCGAACCATGTGAATGGAGCTGCAAGAAATCAGTATGCGCAAGACTGGATGGTAGTGATCATTTTTTTACGTCTTTGCTGACGGTTTGCTTCATGAAAGTCGAACAAGACTTTTCGGGCTTTTACTTGGTAGTGCGACCACAGTGGTGTTCTAGAAGTAAGTCCTT